CCTACCGTTCTATATCTTCTTCTCTCTCTCTCTCTCTCTCTCTCTCTCTCTCTCTCTCTCTGTTTTTCTCTTTTTCCTATGATTTTTTCCCTACTGTCGTATCGCGCAATCGACATCTAATTTCCAGTTTCATTCATTATTCTTTCTCTTCAAGTCCGTCAGAATATATTAAATATTTCGATCGTGTTATTATTAATTATATATTAGTATTTTATATCTATGTATTCTATATACCTATGTATATATACATATACATACATGTGTATATATATATATATATATATATATATACACACACATATATGTACACATATATGTATATATATAATTGTCATTATATTATATATTATGCTTTATCACACATATTACAAAGGAGGTGAAGAATCATACCTAACATATTATTTGTTATTTTGTTGTTGTTGTTGTTGTTGTTGTTGTTGTTGTTCTTGTAGTCGTTTTTACTTTTTCTTATAAGGGCGATTTCAAACAATAACTTTTACTGCGAATGTAGCTTATCATTATTATTATTATCATCAATCGTCATCGTTATTTATTATTATTTTCCTTTTCTTTTTTTTCTTTTTCTTTTTTTCCCCTTTAAATTCTTAGCGCGCCATTATCGGCAGATGCGTTTTCATCGTGTGTACGCGTGCACGTTCGTACGTATAAAATTTCGCTATGGGCGACTACAATCGCGGTTTCCTTTATCCATACTTTCTCGCGGTTTCATCCCACCCCCGCCCTCCCATTAATAACGCGGCTTCGTGTATCTCGAACGAGTCACGTGCTTCGTCTGCGGACAGTTCGTTCGCTCTTCGTTTATAATTATTTCGAGAAATAAAAAATTTCGAAATTTCACGCGTCAATATCCATCCCCGTCGGTAACGGGGAGCGATATGTTCGTTCGTGGCGATTGTTCAATCGCCGCGCGTGAAATATCTCGATACGTATATATATATATATATACGAATAAAATCCGCGAAATAATTTTCCTAAATTTTCCCACGTTTCGAATCGTTGAGAAATACACTTTCGAGAACAACAGGTATCTCCCGGGCAACACTTTCGCGATGTGAAAATTAAAAAAAAAAAGAGAGAGAGAGATAAAAAATTGCACGTCTAAAAATGTTCAAATTAAAATTTCCTAATTGGCCTAAATTACTATCTACCGCGTTAAAAACAAACTGTCCAAACTTTCGTCGAAAACGATGGAATAAATCGTTCCGATTCGATCGTATCGGCGGACACGGAAATATTTCGATAATTACGTCTTGAATTGTCTAATAAGGTTCTCGTCTCACTGCACCGTGGTATCGAAACCACCGTGGTATATGTTATCCAAAACCACGCAGGTATTTCGTGTTTCGCGAACCTAGATCGATGCCTAGAAAGACATTTTTTGGTTAATGTTCTCGAAGAAAAGCGACTATACTTCCGCGGTACGAAAAACATGCATGCACGTTTTCATATATGCGTTTATACCATATATATATATATTGAAGAATCGTGTATATTCACGTGTACGCGTATACGCATGCGCGCAGGAATCGATACGATCCGTGCCAGAACATAAGACACCGCTCTGGGGGAAAAATTCGTTTAGTGAAAAGTGGCGCGATATAATTATATTTAATAATTCTGACACGGATTACCGTCTCGTTTCGAGCGTTTTTTTGTTTGCCGCTCGGCGTTTGCCGTGCCGCGTAAACGGTTTAAAGAATTTTCTACGGATGCGTTACGCGAGTAATGTATCGATAGAAGGAGATTGTTTCCACGATTTGGATGCGTGGAAGAACACCGCGCGATTCGTCAACGATTAGAAAAATTTGTCTAGAAAAATCTCGATCTCGATTCTTGCCCAAATACTCGGTTCGCGATCGAGTATCGGAACAATACTACTTTCTATATAATATATATTAATATATATATTATATGTATATCAATATATATATATATATGTATATATATATATATATATACACATATACATATATATATATACTTTTTTTTTAATTATCAATTGATTTAGGTGAATTGGTACCTAGATAAGTTTCACTACGATTATATCGATCGATTAGTGGGGAGAACGTGTCCGTGCACGAACGAGATCGTGTGTCTAATAAGTGTTGGTCTCGTTTACGTGTGTCGGTGTGGTTACGAGCCTGTGGCCGCGCGCGAAAGCGTTTCGAACGCGTATCGTTTCGTGCTCGTTTACGGGATGCAAATTTTCACCTAGTATATATATGAGCCGCGGTAACCTCGTATCGCACTAATCGCGACAAACGATTTTTCCGATCCCTTCGAAGCCGTTGCTAGCCGACCGCTCGACTTTCTTTCTTTCTCCCTCTCTTTCTCTCTCTCTTTCGCCGACCCTCGATTCCCTCCATCGTCCATCGTCCGCGTCGATTGACAGAAAAAAAAAAAACGAGTCGTCACCGTTTTTCCAACCCATGCCTCTTCCAAGGGATCTCTTCCGTGGAAATTCGATATTGGTGGCGAGAAACGAAAGGCAGCGTCGCGATGTCCATGTAACCAATCAGAGTAAACGAATTCCACGCGTTTATTCCTTTTCTCGGTTCGAACGAGCGGGGAGGATAAGCGGCGTTCTCGTTCTCTTTCCAACGAGACGCTTATCGGGGATCGAGGATCGAGCGAATTGTCGAGCGTAAACGCGTCTCATCCCTCGAAGCAACCATGGAAAAACCATCTCGACGCACCGCGCCATATATATATATATATGCACACATATACGTTGCGTTGGGTATATGCGTTTAATAAATTTATCCGTGAGATAGCGACGCTGCCGAGACGCGTGAATCGTGGCGCTATCTCGCGCTAATCCTAGCCGCGCCGCGTTTCATCGCTTCTCGTCCACGCGAGAACGGTGCCGAGCGTCGAAAAATTACTCTAACTAAAATGCTCTTCCCTTCCTTTGTCCTCTTGTTTCGCCAACTGTTGCTTTCTCCGTTTTCCTCCCCCCTTTCTCTTATCTCATTCGCGTCTTTTCGTTCACAGAATTTCTCTCCTTGTTCGGCTCTCTTCGAGATTGGAAAAGACCGGATGTCCTTTCTTCTTCCATCTTTTCGTCGAACATGTTTCCTCCTTCGCGTGTTCGGGATGTGACTTTCTTCCTCATTCTTGTTTCTCTCTCCTTGTCTTTCTCTGTTTCGATCGATGGTGCGTTTCGTTTTTATCAACTGACGATACCCGGTTTGTATCAAACGAGATGGATGAATCGATCAGTATTTTCGTTTAAGTTCGATCGTGGAAATTTTGTGTGAACGAAAGGACGGAAAGTTAATCGTTAATGCGATTAATCATCTCCTCCCTCCCTCTCTTTCTCTCTCTTTCTCTCTTAACCTTTCTCACACCTGCACACATTCATCACACGTATCGATTTTTCAGTTCTCTTTCTCATTTTTCCTACTCTTTCTTACTCTCACTCTCCCTCATTTTTTCTTCTCTTCTCGTCCCTTGGTTTTTGCTCTCTGTTCTCTCACGCGGATATCTCGTATCTCGTGCGGATCCTAGATCGTCACCTAATCTATGGCGACACGTATATACAAAAAGAGTACCAAAAAAATAAATATATATGTAAATATATATATGTATATATATAGATGTGGAAATTATTTTTGTTTATTCATTCCTCGTTACTAAGCGTACGCAAGGTACGTATCGATTAATCCACGATCATCTTTTTTTCACCGATTCATTTTCGGATGACTAAATTTATGATGTCGTAGGTATGCGTGTATATATTATGTATGTATGTGTGTTGTGTGTGTGTGTGTGTGTGTGTGTGTGTGTGTGTGTGTGTGTGTGTGTGTACATGTGTGTGTATGTGTATACGTGTATATCGCGTGTATTTTATTTTGCATAACACGCGAAAGCGTGTCGTTAAAGATACTCGTCGTGCGAGGTTAATCTACGAGCTTATGGTTTCAACTTACGGTGCTGCTACGTATAAAACGTCCATCTATTAAGCGGAACACATAACGTTGCATACTGATTATTCACCCGTGCCGTTTCCACCGTTAACATCGTCTACTTTGACCGAGATCGATGATCGAAATAAGACAATTTCTCTTTTTTTTTCGCTTCCTTCTTCTCTCTTTCTCTTTCTTCTTCTTCTTCTCTCCTCGAATCTCTTCCTCGATACGTGACATTTTTCGTTTATAAAGGGGATAAGGTAGAGGGGATAAAGTAAAGATTGTTCCGATAGGTAGAAGTTCAAGAAGACGAGTAAAGTTTATAACAGGGACGAATCACTGTTGGAAACGGCACATCGGGAATTTTTTTTTTTTTCCACCGAGAAAAACCCTCTGTTCCTCCTTCGAAGAATAAGAACCTAATTAATAAACGTGTGTCTCCGTCGAGATGAGATTTCATTTGAACTACGTCGATTGCATCATTTGAGTTTGATTATATACATCGAGCGAAGAAATTCGTTAGGATTAAGAAAAACGTGCATCGCGACAGCCGTTTAACGCGGATCGTATCGGTACAAGAAGGATCGGTGTCTACACAGGAGGAACCCATGCAGTATTATTATTAATATTATTATTATTATTATTAATATTAATATTATTATTATTATTAATATTATTATTATTATTATTATTATTAATATTATTATTATTATTATTAATATTATTATTATTATTATTAATATTATTATTATTATTATTTTTCTTTTCTTCTTTATTCTATTGATTTCTCACGCGAAAAGAATGTTTCAATCCTTGCACGCGTTTCCCTCGAATCTCTTATATCGGACGTATGAAGAGTAATTTGCTAGGAGCTCGGTCGCCAAGTCTCTTCTCTGTCAAGAAAATGTCCGCTCTGGGGAAGAGCGTTTTTTTTTTCCTTTTTCCGTTCGCGGTACGCGAGGTTGACTCGTTTCAAGTAGTAGTAGTTAGTAGTAGTAGTAATAGTAGTAGTAGTAGTAGTAGTAATAGTAGTAGTAGCGTTTTAGATCCACTGGAGAGACGTTATTCACCGCTCGTTATTCGAAAAAAAAGAACGCGGAGGCCCAGGTACGTAGAATCATTTACGTTTCAACCAGGTTTTTTTTTTCTTTTTTTTTTTCCTCTTAATGATTTTTCCAGATTCACGGCCGAAATTAGTCCCCTTTGACTCGTTTTTTTCCTTTCTCTCTCTCTCTCTCTCTTTTTCTTCGCTCTCACTTCTTCGGTGCTTCTTCCTTGACTTTCAAGTTTCGACGCGACCGTTCATTTTTGTACTCTCTCTTGAAAACGAGTAACAGTCTGCACGAGGTTTTTATTTTCCCTCCTTTTTCCCTCCTTCTTCCTTCTTCCTTTTTCTTTCTTCTTTTTTTTTTCTTTTTCATTTATCTTTCGTTTATCTTATCTCTTTTTTTTGGAAAGGTCGCTCGGTAAAGATGATATTGGCTGAGGATCTGGTACGGTTAAACGAACTTAACGCGTGATGGCGCGTTAAGCGTATTAGACTATCGTCGTATTTCAACGTCCGTTTGAATTCCGTTTCCCTACTTCGCTTCTCTAAGTTTATTCTTCCTCTTCTTTCTTATTCTCTTTCTCTCTCTCTCTCTCTTTCGCTTCCCCACACACGCATATCAAACGCTCGACATTCACGTGTCTCACTACGCTCTCTTAACCTTTCACGCCATCTATCCGCTCATTCGCAACCTTCGTCTTCTCTTCCTTTCATCCACTCTTCACTATTTTATCCCATGATAACTTTTCTTTTTTACTATTATGCCCCGCACTCGAACAAGTTAATCGGTAAAAAATCGTTCGTTTCGCTCAAATATTTTGCCTACGAGCGCGAGCCGCGATAAACGCGTGTATATATGTGTGTTTTATATATATGTATGTATGTATGTATGTATGTATGTATGTATGTATGTATGTATGTATGTATGTATGTATGTATATATAACGCACCTATCCGACATATCCAATAATTCTTAATAGCTAAAGATTGTGTGATACAGATAATCGTCTAATATAAACAGCGGTTCGAAGCGTGGATGTTTTCCATTATCTACGATTTCATCTTCCAACTCTTTCCTTATAATTATTAATACCACTTTTATTCACCAGCCACCATTTCCCTTTTCCCCAATATTCTGCCTTTCCCATCTTTTCCTTTTTCTTCTATTCTCCATTCATTCACGCATACACAAAGTTCTGTTCCATCTTTCTCATCGGTCATTCGCTCATTCTCTCTTTCTCTCTCTCTCCCTTTCTTTCTCTCTCTCTTTCTCTCTCCTTTCATGCTCCACCAATCTTAAACCTCGCAGTTTCGCGTCAAATCAGGTACTCGCTATCACCTCTTATCCATATCGAATCACGTTCACACTTTAATCGTACACGTTTTAATCGTACACGTACCGGCCCCGAATTATCCGAAAACGACGGCCATCCTTTCATCGAGGAGAGGGCAAGCTTGGTGTTACCCGATCCCGCTTCGATCCCTCCTCCGATCCCTGTCTCAATCGGTTCTCTCGAGATGGCGCCAAACGATCGACGAAAGGAAGGGACAAACTGCCCTGGCGCTCCGTTCCCCCCGTTCTCCGATTTTCCTTCTTTGCCCTCGGCCCTTGCCGTCTCGTAGTGCGAAAGAAGGGACGAGAAGTGATCACAGGAGAAGGAGGAGGAGGAGGAGGAGGAAGATGGAAAAAGAAGAGTACACATCTCGGCGGAGAGGGACAGGAGAGCAGAGAACGATCGTTTCTCGCGGTGGCTCGCGCTCGATTCAGCGCTACGAGAAAAGGGACGAGCGAACGGGCAAGGAGAGAGGAGGAACTCCTGGAACGTGTCTTCCCGCTTTACAGTCAACGTTTTTTCGGAAGAGACGATCCGCGAGCGCGGGCCGCGACTCGCAGGGAGAGGCCGCGAATCGTGGCCACTTTATATATATATATATATATACGAATTTATAACCTATGCAGATATATAGATAAATACGTACACGCGTGTACACGCGCACGCGCATGCGTGGCCTGTGTACACGCGTGCATCGATATCGGTATCGGTAACTAACGCATGCTCCATCTCGGTCGGACGAAAAGGGGTTCACGGCGATGGTCCGTTTTCTTCCTTCTTGTCCCCTTGACGTGGACTCCCTTTCTCTTCTCTCCTCTTCATCGCTTCTCGACCACGTCCCATTTTGTTTTCCATCGCGTGTTCAGCTCGCTCGCGCCGTTGCCCCATCGTCGGTCTCATCGACGAGCTTTATCTGCCGATGAGCGCGTCGTCCCTCCCTCCTTCTCCCTTCTTTTTCTTCTTCCCCTCTTCTGGCCGGTTTGTCCTTGGTGTCCGTGCGCGCGCACCGCGCAAACTCGGGAGAGACGAAAAGTAGTTGCCGGTGAAAGTTGTGCTCGGTGCGGAAAGATGATGCGATGTACGACGTATTTGGCCGGTGGTGGAGGAGGCGGCGGCTGCGATGGCTGTGGCGGCACGACGACGGATCGATGGTCTCGGCCGTGGCGATGGCGAAGGCGGCTGGTTTAGTGCACGACCGGTAAACACGTCCAAGTAGCAATGGATAGCAGAGTAAAAATAACTCACAGTGGAATAATAATCGTGATGGTTGCGTTTATAGAGCGGTAATAGAATGGTAATAGAGCGATAATAGCGATAGTAATAGAATAGCGATAGTACCGACGATCAGTGGATAGTGGCTGTAATAACGGTATTTTCGGGCTGTGTTTCCCGAGGCAGGTAGGTATGCGAGCAAGGGTGAGACGAAGTGTCGGACGGGCCGGGGATCTCGAATGAATGGCAGGGTGGGTGACAGCGGTCGGTAGGAGGTTCTCGTAGGGGGAGGAGGAGTTGGTACGTAGAAGTGGTAGTTAATTAGCTAGGGTTGCGAGATAATTAGGGACAACGCAGCTGGGGTTAACACCAGCGGTACGGCACGGTTCGGGGTCGATCTGCACCCTCTTTCACCAACGGCTTATGAAATTCTCGACCTGGCCGTGAATGAATCGTCGCCCAACAGTGCTCGCAATAGTACTGCAAGAAAAAAAACACGATCGATCTTTCACTATTTTTTCCCTCCGATTTTTTTCATCGGATCGAAATAATATTCGTTTACCTGTAGGCAGGTGACATTCGCGCAAAAGAACGGCGCGAACTTGCCTCCGCAACGTTGTCCCTGACACTCGTCGCACATTTGATCGTCCAGAACGTACGGTTTGACTTCGACCTGAGAAAAACAGGAGAGAAAAGAAGAAGATGCAATCGAATTATATAATATGATGGAAAGTCCTAGCGCGTACTTACTCTTTTGTCTATGTCGCCGTGCTGTAACTGGACGAATCTGGCCGATATGGCAGCTATATAGCTCTGTTGATTGCTGAAAGCGACCCTGCCGGCGCCCTTCGGATATTTCAACTCGGGATCGGTGTCGATGCCGGCGTAACACACGCCCCCGTAAAGCCGGTCCATGATCATCGCCAGCTCGACAGCTTTCAACGGTCTGGGAACACCACCGACGAACACCGTTTTCCGCGGATCCAAAGGCATCGAAGCGTCCAATACGAAATCCGCGTCGCTCAGTCGCCACGGTCGAATTTGTACCGGTTTGTCTTTCGTCGTTGGCGAACTGACGCACAGATACAGTTTCTCTTCGTCTTGGATGCACGCGTCGATCAACTGTTGCACGGACGCCTCGTCCTATCCCGTTCGAGGGAAAAATATCGAGACGATATGATAAGATTTCCAATTTTTAACTTAATCGAATCGAAACGAAACCATCCGAAATTTTACCTGGAAAAGCAAGAAAGCGTAGCCCTTCGGTGGAAAGTAAGATTTACTCTCAGCTTTGTGGGGCCAATCGACGACCAACGACCCGAAACGGCGAAAGCTCGCTTTGATCTCCTCTGAAACGAGAGAAAGAGACAATAAAGATAAACGGATAAGAGAAGAGGAAGAAGCGGGGGAAAAACGGACTCACCCTCGTCGATGTCCGGTGGCAGGCCACCGACAAACACTTTCCTAGAGAAGCGTTCCCCGGTTTCACTGCCTTGACTGTGAGGACTGCTCCGACTCGGGGAGGAAAGCGGTGCCGTCTGAGATCCGGTTATCCCGCTACCGACGCCGACCCCAACACCGACGCCCACGCCGACACCCACGCCCACACCGACCCCGACCCCAACACCGACACCGACCCCGACCCCGACTCCACCGACGCCGTCCAATTGGCTGGGCGCGTTAGGATCCTCCAGCAGCGTGCCGCTCTGATCCTCCAAACTCGGGAAGAACGGTGATTTGCCTGCAACCACACGCATCCTACAGTTATTACTATATCAACTCGAGTATCTATCTCCTTTCCTCTCGCCTCTATTCCTTTTCCACGCCGTCACTAAACGAGTTTCCATATATTCGAGAGCGAATTTTTTTTTTTCTCGAGGATAATCAAAGGATCGCTTCGAAGAAAAAAGAAAAAAGAAAAAAAGGAAGAGAAGAGGTCTTTCGACTCGTCGAATAACACGGTCGTGTTCGTGGTAACCTAGTCGCGTATGCACACGGCCGAGTGTCAACGATTCGAGTGGGTATTGTGGACGCGTGGACGACAAGATGGTTAGGTGAAATCGAAGGAATTTTGAAACGGGTTAAAATGAATAAAACTCACTGTATCTTCTTCTCACGGGGAATCTCGCTCTTCTAATGAACGTCGCCATTCTTGGCGGCGGGCTCGTGTACGAAACGTGTAATGGAAAAGGGGATTGCGAAATCGGTTAAACGTAACCGCTTTTTTTTCTTCTGCCGTCGCGAAAAGAGAAAACAGAAAACGGACAAAGCGTACACGCAACCAGGCGGAACAATCGAGTTTTATTGTTCAACCTTCATCTTTTTTTTTTTTTCCTTCCTCTCGTTCGCCGCCGAAAGATGGATAGTTTCGTCGCACGCGAAGCCGTCTGCTTTTCCACAAATTCGAGAGATCAAGCCTCGATCGTCTTTCGTCCGTCCTACGAGTCGAATCGGAAACAACGGAATCATAACGATCCCCCTCCTCTCCTCCGCTCGGTGTGTGTGTGTGTGTGTGCGCGCCACCGATAACACGGGATGGACGCGTAGTGTCCATCGTGCCGTGGTCGCCCGCCCACCCCTTTCACCCGTTTCCCGGTTTGGTGCAGTATCGATTACTCGAGCCACCAGCTCGCCAAGGGCCTCGAACGGCTCCCGGTTCGAGGCGATCTTCTATTAATCGACGCGGCGCGTGGACTCGTTTCGTCTTTCTTTCTCCGTTCGCGAGATGAACTTCGAGGAGCGATATTTTTATCAGAAAGGAGAGGAGAAAAAATAGTCGTCTGCCGAGGATTAAGGCATTTAAGTTTTATTATAATTGGGATTTTTGTAAACGATTTTAATTTTAAATTTTAAAAGTCGAAGTTTTTGTTAAACGATGATCATTAAATGAGAAACGCTTTTGGAAATATATCGTTTTGATGAAATTTTCTTTCAATTCAACATGTTACAACATGATTCTTCTTATATTGGAGGAAGAAGGAAATTTTATTTCAAGATACAGAGAGTTTCTAAAACTAAATAATTTCTTTTTAAAAATGAGTTATTTTTTAAACAATTCTAATTCGTAAATGATAAAGTTAATTTTCATGCGACTCGTATATGAAAAAAAGAAGAAAATTAACCTTTCATTTTTAATTTTTCCCAACGAGATATTTTATTTATCTGTTGGATAACATCGTGTTAAAATTATCCAGACGAATTAATTGAAAATGTGAATTCCTTCTTGCAAAAACTTTTATCTATTGCAGATTTATGGGATCACATCGTATAAGAGCACGCTGCTGATTATTAACTCCACGGCATCCCTTTCATTGATTATTAATTTTCATTCATTCATTTCGTTGTTGAACGAAAATGATTGTGCATTTATTAAAAGAGTAATCTTCTCGTTTTAAATTTTTACAATAAAAATATATAATTTATATTAATCGAATTAATTGTACGAAAATTGATAGTCACTTTGCTTATATAATATATATATAAGCAATTTTAATCTTTAAAGTTCTTTTTCCTCCACTCCCCGATCTCCTCTTAATTATCCCACTAATTTTTGAAAGTAGGCTCGGCCACAGAGGGTAAGACCTTTCGTTCTCAAAAACAGTTTGAAAACGCGATGCGATAGCTGCTGGCCTGCCATGCAAATTGCGGAACGATGTCACGCGAGCATTAAGGGAGCGCTGGGGACGTGGCCCCTTTCTTTTTCACCATTCTTTCGAACGATGTGTAATGCATTAACGATAATATGTCCGTATGTGTGTCTTGATATCGACTTTATCGACCAAGTTCGAGCAAATATCAATTTTTGAGAACAACGAGAAGGAGTGGAATTGAGTTTTCGTTTCAAGCGTTTTAATCTTTTTCAGAGCTTTGATTTGTTTGAGATGAGATTCGTTTTTCTCTGAAACTGGATCATTTCCTCCGTTTAAAAAAATCTCGAGTGTTTTGCTCGAAAGAAAACGAAGGGAAAGCAAATCTATTGTACGTATTAATTAAAAGCTTTGAATGAAAATTATCTGTATAAAGTGGATGCATTTAAGAAAATCTCTAAAAAGACTATCAGAATAAATAATTCTATATTCCTGAACTTGTTGTTGGATTCGAATAAGATGAGTGGAAAATTTCCTAGGATCCAAATTTTTTCACAAATTATTGATTTAATTAATAATTCTCTAGTTACATTCTAACCTAACCTCAATTTTTCTGCATTTTCAAATATAATTCCATAGAATTTGTTTGTTATTTAATTTTTTATTTTAGAATCTGATATAGATTTCTTTCTTCTGATCTTTTTGTTTCAAAACCAGAGTATTTAAGTGTATTGAGTCAGGTGTATTTAATATTTCACATTTGAACATCTGTACGAGAACAGTGTTTCGCCCAATGTTTGGCATGAATAAATAAGTGGTTAAAAAAGGTTATAATTGTTACATCTGTTGTTTTTTTTTTTTTTTCGATCAAAGTTATTTGAAATATTTTTCATTCAGCAATCATGTATAATTCCGTCTCTTTTTGTAATTATGTGTCAGAGTTTTCGTTTAATTTTTTAATATCGATCAAATTAATAAAATATTTGGAATCGTACAATTCGAATGTTTCATTCGTTTATTTATATCATAAGTTAAAAATTAATTTGTTGCATACGAAATAACTAATTAAATTAAATGTGAAAAGGAACCATTTAAAAATTGTGACTAAATGTACTATTAAATGTTTGTTGCGTTGTTCAAAGCTTGAAATTAAGTTTAAGGGGAATATAGAGGTAGCATAAACGAAACATTTGAATAGGACATTGCAATTACTTATCTCAAAAATAGCAGAAATTTTTTTCCTCGCGAAATTAAATTCTTTTTATCGCAACATTATGACATATTCAAACGATATAATAATTAATTTGAAGTCGTTCAATTAAATTTTTCCTGTTTTCTCGAAATGTTTAATAAAGTATCTTTTGTTGTGTCGTTGTTGTGTTTTAATTTGATCAGAATAATAATAAAATGATATATATTTTTTCTTTAACAAATTAATTTTTCGATATTGTTTTCAATATATGAACATGGAATATATGTAGAAAATTTATGATATTAAAAAGTAAAAAGCAATTTTTAATTTTATTATTGATTTTTTAAGATTATAAATCGTTTTCTTATTAAATGAATTATCTTTTGTTTTTTGAATTTTATAATTTTTTTTTTCTAACATATAAATTTATGTAAAACTTAGCACGATAAAATAATAATTATAAAATTTTAATGTTAATATTATCTTATTCTTCGTTCATAGATACACATATCCCATTCAATACAATTTATGAAAAAATAAAAAGGAAGGTTAATACTACATTTTTATGATAAAATAACCGATCTTTCAAGTAGTAAACAATGATGGAATGATTGTTTAGTTTTTTTTTGTTAATGCCTGTAGAATAAAGTATGTTTATATTATCTTTTCTCGACATCTCGATTTCAATAATATTTTGTTATAATTAAATTATTGATAATTAATACAGACTTCAAGAAACTTATAAAATTTTAGCAACAAATTATTTACCATCAATGTAACAAATTAAAAAATGTAAATGATAAGATAGAAAACCAAGATTAATTATTAATGATAATTAATTAGAAATTTCAATTGTAACATTTTTAACCTGATTTTCCTCATTCAACGAACAAGCTGTATCGAATACATTGAACGTTATTTTCCATGAATTTGTAAATGTAAATTGAAATCCTTATTAAAAATTCATTTTTCTTCCGTAACAACTTAACGTGCAAGATTTATTTCACAGTTTTATTTAAATTGCACATTTTTTTTAAAATATCATACATGTCTGAGTGTTAAAGGTAAATTAGCAAAATTTGTAACTTTATATAAGTATATATAGTAGAATCCGCTCAGTTTCTTTCAAACTTCAGCAATTAGAGAGTCTTGGACAAACTTGTGTCGAGAAATCGAAATTTCCATGGCTAAGCAGAATTAAACATGTAATTTCCGTTTCGATGCATAATATTACGAAACGTGTTAAAAATCGAATGATAATTTTAATAATCTGTGACGATTTATTAAAACATAATAAAAAGTGTCGTGAATCGTCAGTATTTGCCATCCACGACAAATATATCAAATATTTATCGAAATGAATATAGACGATTTATTACTTTCAACGTAGTTCAGTAAATATCTATGAGTCGCAAACTCATGATTTTACTATTTGGCTGACATCTTGTTGCGTTCAAAGCAAAGGTTAAAAGTCCATTATCCTTATTTATTTTCTCTAAACAAAAATAAAATAGAAAATCAGCCTAATTTATTACCGGCAAATAAGACTAGCAAATAAAACGTCGATATAAAAGATATATCGTATAAACACATAAAAATATCACACCGGTAAAATCCAGCTTCCCATTATTCTCCACGAAACAAGTCACTTTTAAAACTTGTTATATTTCAGAATTATTTTTCATTAATCATTCCTTCAATTGTGAAACATCTATTTTTTTAAACGAGAACGAATCAACAAAATTAACTCATCGTATAACGATAACAAAGATCCTTATAATTCCCTTCGTTCGAGAACAAATTTCGTATTCAGCGATCTCGTTTCGACCAACAGATATAACCTAATACTGGAAAAGACGAATTTTTTTCCTTCTCTTTCTCTCTCTCTCTCTCTCTCCCTCGTACAATGCAATGGTAATTGGGAACATCATTCTAACGCGGCGACGACGCTGCGAGGTTCTA